GCAAAACTTAGCCTTACGGTTAAGACTGAAGACGTTATTTTGAAAAAATATATCATAACTTATTTTAAGCGGCAACATTTCTAATATAGATTTGTTTTTTGTTTTCAAAATCTTTAAATCACAAGTTATATACTTATCGCTTTTTAAAGATTTTAATTGATAACAAACCAATTGAAAATGCAAAAAATAGTGATATGCCAAATTTTATATTACAAAAAAAAATACTACTTTTTTAATACAATTTACATACATATATCAACATTTCAACAAATATATCAGATGGCAGTCGTCAAGGCAATTGTAACTTGATATATTTACATCTGAGCTTGATATTGCTATAAGTTTCGTTTTGATATTCAATCTTGATATATTTCAAGTTCAAGATCAAGAAAAGCCTTGAGCTGAAATCAATTAGCTACTTTCATTTGTCTATCTATAAAACATGCATAAATTACGCTATTTGCTAAGTGTATATAAAGAAAGTTAAATGTATGATTACTTAATAAAAACAAAATCTATAATGTTTTACACTCTTGGCCTGAAAATTATTCATATTAAAAATAATGCAGCAGTATAATTATAATTATATATGATTAAAGAGTAATCGCAGTTCTATTTAATAGACCTAAAAATGCTAAAATTTTTAAATACTTTGTATCATATATAAACCTATTACTGAAAAAAATAATACATACATAAATATAAAGTGCGGTTTTGGACAACACTCCGAATATATTATTTTCAAGTTGTTTTTCGCTTCTCGAATGTAATTGCATTTGTGTAGAGTTTTGGCTCCTATGTCGGTCTATTTAAAGATTGTATGAAGAATAAATTCCAGTTTATTACAATTTCCTCTGTACGAGTCAGAGAGAAAATATGTGGATGAACATAAAAAAACACTCCTAATTCAGTAAATGTAACTCATGAGTTAAAAGCTAAACATGTATAAAAGAGACGTTTATGATTGCCTTAGTTTAATTTTCAGAAAATAAAAAAGATACGATTTGTGTAATCCACGTTTGCAAAATAATATAATATTGAAACACATTTAATTTTATTTATTACTAGCTCTTAAAAATTGTATATTTTTTTTTTTATTTAATTCGACCCACTTATTTTTGTATATATTAAATAAATATGTTTTCATAAACCTTTTTAGAATAATTTCCATGTAAGCATTATTTATTTAATAAATTAAAGGGTATCAATGATTTTTTATGTCCATTATGATACATTTATTTGTACAACTGTTAAGTTAATATTAGAGGCATGTATTTCAACAACATTTTCATATATATCATGCAAATAACTTTTGCACTTCGAGAGGGCTCTATTCGAAAATTGCGGTTCTAGAGGAAATCTTATAAATGTCTGCTATATCTATATTGAGTCACGAATCTCCTTGAAACAAAATCATATTTCCTCTTTCGAGTATCGATATTTCGATTTCAAATATCGATATTTTTATTATTGCCACATTAACTTCCAATACTTCTAGATAACTATATACTTTTACTGAATGTCTTATAGTTTAATAAAAAAAACCTTATAAAACATATGCTTTTAAATATTCAGAAATTTTATTTTGCACTAAAATCAGACCCAGTTTTAATTTAAACTAACTCATAACTCTGAAAAAAAACCTAGAATAATATTGTCTTTGAATCCTTTATTATTTTACCCATTACAAATATTTCGTAAATCCCTTATATTAATATTTCATATATTTGTGATCATTTAAATATTATACAAGATTTTTACTTGAAACTAATATTAATATTATATAATACTCCGTATTCCATTGTTCACGCTTTGCTTTATTGCTCTAAATAATAAATAGACCCAAAGAGTAAGCTACCCTAGTGGAACATAAACGCAACTAAAAAGCAATCTAGATATATAAACAGTGCTTTGCTTTGCCTTTTATATAAGTTAGCAAACTTTACAACCTATTTGTTAGAAATTTGTTAAAATATTAAAATATGTTATCTTTTTTTTATAAACCTTTTTTAAATTTGCAAATACTATTGTTTCTATTTTTTCTTTGTCTTATAGTATAAATATAAATCAATACATACATACTTGTCTTATTTATAAGATCAGAGTGAAATACATGTTTAACTTTTCCATAATTTATTTGATTATAATTTACTCTTCAACATAAATCTGAAGATCCTATTAAAATTCATTGAAAATATTTCATTAAGTATATGTACAACATACTACATGAATCATATTTTTTTAAATGTACGCTTTCATACTCACTTTTAGGTTTTCTTTTTTTGTTTTAAAATTAATTAATAAAACTACAGTCTTCTTGATGTTCAGGTAAAAAAAATCGAAATGGACCGAAAGTGTCCATTATTCCGACTGAAATGAATGTCACAGAGTCTATCTATGAGATTTTTAATGTAGATATTATTGTCTCCTCCCCATAAAGTACAAGTTAAATTAGAATTTGTTAAAATGAAAAATGGACCCGCTTTGAACACGCTAAGAATACTCATATGAAAATTTTGTTTAGAACAAAAACAAAGGATTGAATAAGCACCCTTCCTTATTTTTATATCGAAGATTCAATTCATACACATGTGCATCTCTCAATACTTTTCTTTTTCTTGTCTGACCCATAAACGAAACCTGTGGTTTCTACACACATAAGGAATATAAAACCCGCTGGTATTTAAGAAGCAAGAGCTTTACAACAAAACCTATTTGAAGAAAATTGATATTGTGCTATATAATTTAGTGTTTCTATTAGCGAGTTACAAGACTCTGAAAGAGTACAAATCCATAAACTAATTCAATTTGTAAGTTCCTGCTTATGACTTTTGTTATAATTGTTGAACAAATATAGCTGAAGACTCATTCGCTAAGTAACTTCATTTCAAATCTATTGATTAATTATTCATCATTCATCATCATCCCATTGCCCGCCACTTAATACAATCTTCGGCTACACGCATCACAAATTATTATTATTAAAGCAAAATTTTCTTTATAAAAATTATCGTCATCTTTGATATATAAATCTATCATAGCTCATTTACTTACCATATAGTAATTATACATATGTATATTTTAAATAATACTTTAAAAAAAAAACTATGTTATGAATACTCTAACTATGTATCATTTGTCTCTAAAAAGAAATATAAATGAGACTAACTTCCACAAGAAAAAAATCCTATGATTTCATTGTGCTTCCTATATTTTGGAAACAACTCAGTGAATCTTTAACTTTTCTCAGTTGCAAAAAATAGTGATGAAATTCTTTAGTTTAGTTCCAATTTTTATTTCCCCTATCAACAACATTTCTATTATCCCGTATTGTCAAAGCGCCTTTGATTTTTAGTGACGCAATTACTCCTATCTTTATTTTAACGTTGCTTTATGACAGATGAACTTTGAGTAGATATATATGTATATATATATGTATATATATATGTATATATACTAGAAAACAAAACAAGATGTTTCAAAGCAACATTCCATCCCAGTCTCAACTTTCTTTATAATTGTCTACTTTGGTAAGAATGATTAATTTTACCAGAGACTTACTTAAACAATATCCAATAAACAAACGTTTTATTAAATGAACATATCAATAAATACATAAAATCTCATTTCCACTGACGTACTTTATACACCGATAGGTAGATAACATTTAAATAAATAAACATTATGTATAACTGGTTAGAAATAAGGCACATAATTGTTTAACTTTCCGAATTTCTGTTGCCAGCGAGATCGAAATAGAATACAATTGATATCAAAGCAACGTCTGTACTTCGTCTTTTACGGAAATTGTGGTAAGATGAAGCTGAAGCAAATTTGTTACTTTCTATCTGACCTAAGCTTAACAAAACTTCGTCTTATTAAGTCTTAACTTTACTTATACGGACTATTTTATATGAAGTTTTTCCGTAAACAGTACAGCACCAAGTAATACATAGAAAATACAAAAAAAAATAAAGTACAGGCAGTCCTATGTATAATAACACTACTCACTCCCCCTGTTTTATCTGAAAATTTTATTCTTCAATCGTAAAAAAAGAAAAACTGCTGGCTAATTTTGTCACAATACGTCTTGTATTTAAATTTTAACAATTAAAGTAGGATTTGGTAATTGACACAGTTGTTTCATTCGTTAGTGTTAAAATTTCTTATTCTCTCTATAATTAAAGTTAATTTAATGAGATCTAAGACTTTCACGAGTATTTATTTAAAGTTAATTTATTTGAAATATAAGAGTGTAATGGCAGATAATAATCAATCATTTTGAATCTACGACTATAACTATAACTAGGCCATATTTACTAATGGCCTTTTTGTAGATATATACATATTAGTTATAATAGATAAAACCAGAAAACATCGAACATTATTCAGTGCTATCATCAACAGGTTTTTCAGAGAACATCAATAAAGCTTTTTGTTTTTATAACTCGCGTTATAATATTGTTCATAGCTATATACATATAGCTAAACAATATTTCTCAATACAAATAAAAAGGTATAATATTAACGTTATGGGTTAAACATTGTTGTCTTGTTAATTTTCTATTCATTTGTTATGCGAACATAGTTGCATTTTAAAAGATTAAGCAGTTTAATGTATATTAGAAATTCCACTAACCGCGCTTTATGCTAAAACGTACATTAAACTATAAAATTCTATTCCAAAGTTTAATACATTATGCTTATAATAAAACATTAAAATTATTTATATAAGTATGTAACACACCCTCATGTTTGACAAACAAAATAAATAATACATGAAAAAATCGTTTTTATTGCAGAAGTTTTAATTTTTACCATTTATTTCAAATCACTCTCAATGGCTTTGTGAACTTTAATAAAAATATAAAAATGAAATAAATATCCTAGAGTGTTCAATTGAATTAAAACAAACTCGATTATCAAATATCGTTTCCATCGTTCGACTTCAATCAGTTTAAGAGCGTAAAACCGATTTGTATTTTTGTCGCAGATACACAATGACGCGCACAACTACAGCAAACTCATCCGTCATCGAGAGATTCAGCGGCACCACGAGCACAACGACCAGCACAAACAATGTCCTAGCAGCACCGAAATCATCAAACGGCAATAAACGACCGGCCATCATCATTTATCCCACTGGTAAGGTCGAGTATAACTTAATTATGAACTCAACTAAGTAGTGCTGCAAGAATTCCCTTTTTGATGTTTCAAAATCGGCTCAATTGTACTAAATATCTATTCAATCATATTATGAATCTTATTTAACTTTTTTTTTTGCAGTTGTAAAAAGTTTGTTATGGCTTGAAAAATTTGATTGAAAACAAATGCCATTGTTATCTTGGAACATCTTTTGTTTAAATTTAAATTTCATTATTTTTTATCGTAGTTAAATTTATATATAATAGTATTGTTACCATCTAATAAACGAAGAGAGTCCAATTCGCTTTATAGCTCTGTTTAAAATCTACATTGTATTAATGTTGGTCTTTATTTCAAGCTGAGTGCAATTAGAATCCAGATTTCAGTCTGAGTTCTTTTACTTAAGTCACATCAAACTGTGTTAGATTGACACTTAATGTTACCCTAACAGCTTTTATTTCAGAGAATGTCTTAAGATAGCTATTGTAGTGAATTAAATCTTTTGTTTAATTAAAACAAGAGTCCATTGAAAGATAAATGAACTTATATAATGTTATTGAGCTTTATTGAATTCTAGTAGTTCTTTTTACAAAGTTCTCAATGTCTGATGTTGAAAATAATTCTTCTGTATATTCTTGTAAAGCCGGAATCATCACATAATATATTTTATGAAAATCCTCAACGGATCACATCTCCGGAACCTTTTATGCTGAGATTTTCTTTGTAGTATCCCGATGTTATCTTCCAGGCCTTACATATACGTAATAGACGTTAGTCAATAGTTTAATGAAAAACTTTTGTTTCAGTAACCCCAGAGTCTATTGTTGTGCCAATTGTGTCCTGCATTTTCGGCTTCCCACTTCTGGCTTTGACGGTTATTTGCTGTTTGCGGCGTAGAGCTAAATTAGCCAGGTGATTTAACTCATCTATTTTTAATACGACTTCCCATATTTATTTTTATTTTATATAGTAAGAGAATTAAAAATAGAATATTCTTATTTGCAATTACTACGACCTTATTTAATTTTGAGTTTTTTTTTCAGAATATCAACATTAAATCTTTATAAGTAAATATTTTTAAATTAAAATCTTACATTTAATGTATAATTGCCTATGAGATTAGATTTGGTCTGCATAATTTGGTTTGGTACCATCCAAAAACTAAATTGGTAGATTTATACTGGCTAATAAAAGAAACGAATCTTATTTTATTCTTTCGTAAAATTTTATTAATCAAACTTTGTAGATAAGTTTATATAATTCAATGTAATACTACGATAGAAATAAAATCTCTAGACAAAATTTTACTACCGATAACACTATCTCAAATGCCACATTAGATTCATTTTAGAAAATAAAAATATTTCACAAATTGAAAGAACATCTCCGAAGCAAAAACGTTTTCATAACAATGTCATAATGTAATAGTTTTATTTATAAATAAACAACGATACGTAAATAGATATATCCTTTCATATATAACAGACGTGAAGATTTGAATTCCTCCTTAAAGTTTAAAACAAATATCCAAGCTTAAGACAGATTTAACAAGTGCACGTAAGTAGCTGTGTTTTAAGTAATTTCCGAATTTGTGTTTCTACTTTAAAGTAAATTGTTTAGTTGGTGTAATTTAAGGAAACAAATAAAATAGTTTCAAATGTAACAAAAGAACATTACATTTTATTGAGACTCACATTTATGTTGACAGATTTATTATAGAAATAATGACTCAATAAAAAATGAACTAAAGTTTAAAATACATTTTGCTGACATTAATCCTAAAGGGGTAATCTTTTCTACTGGAAGTTTCGTCAGAAAATATTTCCAGGCCTCAAATAAAAATGCATTTGCATAATAATTCTTTTAGCGATCAACATCCGCATAAAATCTATTAGATGTAGTTCAAAACGCAACTGCCGCCTTTCATATTTAAATTAATAACAGCATTTTTTAGCATACCAAGTTATAGTAGTAGAATAAAGCAAAAATTTTACAAAGATTTAGTTAAACATTCATGTGCTTACAACTTGGTATAATATATACTGAAATTAATTTCACTAACACTTCAATATATAATTCCTCGAAATATAATATATTCCCACACTAAAGCGCTTATCATTTTCAACAAACCACATCAGACTGAAAATCTTCTTGAACATTTTAAAGGAAGATTAAAATAATGTCGACACATAATAACGTCGTCGACAACCTTAAGATGGAGTGTTAATTAAATAAAAATAATTTGACATTAACTGTGTATAAAATACATGGTTTTGAAGAATATTAAAGTTTTGGGTATATTAACACTGCTTATTAACAAATTATATGGTTCAATATCTAGAAGATAAGCCTTTGACTGGTAAAAAATATGATTATATTCTGTAATGTTAAATTGATTTTAGTACAAATAACGAAATTAGTTCTAAGACTTGTTGAAATATTATTATTCATAATAAATTTTTATATGACTAAGATATATTATAAATTCCTTAATAATTAAATTAAATACTTCATATTCTTTTGAATAACACCGACAAGATAATCAATTGTACTGCTTTAATAAATTTTTAAGTATGATAATTTCTTTGTGGTCGAGTTATTACTATTGAAATTTTATTTTAAATACTATAATTCAATACTTTTCGAGTTTGTAGTGGCTTATAGAAACTAAAAATAATGTTCTAAAAATATTATTATACGTTTGTTTGAGATACACAAAATTTAAATAAGCAATCTTATTGGTACATACGCTTTATTTCACTCGCAACTCAAGTGTCTTATCGAAAAACAAAATTTGTTTGATTTATTCCCCTTACGATTCAAAGATAAAAGTGGATACTCGTATTCTGATAGATGTAAAAATATGTATGTATCTGAAAGTATTTACCTAATATTTATTCTTAAGTAGAAAAAAGATTAATTTTAGTGAGATTATTAGTCACTTTCATTTCGTCTTCACGTGGTCACGGAAACTAAAAGAGTAGTTACAAATGTAAATAAAGTGAATCCGATTTAAATTTTATAAGGTTATTATTTAAAAACCAAAATGAATATGTCCAATATAAAATTATAAAATAATTTAAAAATGAGAACATGACATATTTAAAAAGAGAACGAATAAACAGAGTTTTAAATTTTAATTTATTGTACATGATTTAAAAGTAATTTGATGTTACTCGCATAGATGCCACTAATGGGAATGTACTTTTTACTAACATGCTTTCCCGATACTACAAATAAACACAATGTTCTGTAGAAGAGATTTATTATGAAATTAACATTATAAATTTGTTTTCATAACGCCCGTTTCATTGAGCGAAATATAACGAGATAATTAAAAACCTTTTACTTTGATTTTTGTTTCAATATAATAAACGTATCAATCAGCTTAATAGCGTTCTTTCCGCAGCAGTACAATATTGTATTAACTTATAATCCAATAACTTCCCTATCGACATTTTCAAAGGATTTTTTTACTAAACGAAATTTCAATAACGTTATTCATAATTTTCGTATAAAAGTATTCGATACTCGTAGTTTTTTACACTTTTATATAAACTTAGACCTGAACCTCATATATTATAACTTTCTATACTAAAAGTAGGTAAGCAAAACCTTTTTTTATATACATGATGCCCCTTTACTGTGGTAATCATATTAAATATAGTGGTAAAGATAATAGTATAGTAATGTAGACAGTGATTTAAAAAATCCAGTTATAAATAACTAACTTCTCTAAATCATCACTACCACTTCTTTACGATATACCAACTTGTCTGTACAGAGAGCGCGCAAGGAGACGCAATTGCGAACTTGATCGTGGAGAGCTTTCTGTTGTTCGCTTATCACCAGTGAAGAACAGACCTCGTGCTGTCAGCTTGGTGAGGTCACCGCGACCTCCTCCCACCTTGGAGCTAGATACAGTATTGGAAGAACGCTCTGACCCTGAACAAACGACGCTATCACAGGTACTGTATTTAGAACAGTCTAGTATACTTGAAGCAAAATTTAAACGATACTCTGTTGGACCATATTGAATGTAATGAGTACTAATGCAATTTATTTATTCAATGTTATTTATTCTGCATAATATAAAAATAAAATATATCTTTTATTACTAATAAGCTGTTGTAATATTTTTATACTCAAATAATATCGTCAAAATATTTATACTAAAATGTATTCTCGCTTACACAATACAATAAAAGCAGGTAGTATTATATTGAAGCTTCTTAATGTCATAAATGAGTAACCTTTTGTGTTACGTCCATTAAATATCATTATTACGGGCTTGCATTATTATGATTTTAATTAAACTACATAACAATGACAAGCTATGATAATAGAAATCATAAAAACAATTGACTGTGTAATAATCGACTTCGCAGTTTTATAAGCTTTACAATATATACATACATATATATAATATAATTAATTGTGTATTAAGGGGATTCGTTTTAAGACTGTTTTATATAAGAATTAATCTTATTAGTAGATGAAATTTGTAGAAGACATAAAAAATGCGGAACGAGATCAAAAACAAATGGATTAATTTATAACCTCAAAAAAAATCGCTCCCCTTTTTTGGAGCTAGTGTTGATAAAATTTTATGATATAAAAATGTTATTTAGAAAGATAAATCTAATTGATGTTTACACCATTTTGTACAATATCTCCCAATTTCTAAGGATTATTCTAATGATATCAAGAGTTAGAAAATGTTGAGTATTTCCCACAGAGTACACGGCTTAAATAATTCACCTACTTAAGGAAAATTGTAGCTTGTGGTAAAGTTATATAAAATATGTAATAGCGCCTGCAACAAAAATACAGTGACTGTCTGCGTGTTGAATATAACTGGATATTGTAAAAACATAAATCAATAGTAAATATTCCCATAACAAACCACGATAATCTAATTATAATCTTTAATTTTATTAAAATTGCTAACCATGAATGTATTTGGTGTTTGTAGTACATTAGGTTTTGCAATATAGCAATTTGAAGAAGAAAAAGTATTCACAATTTATAATAATTATAGATCTCGACAAACAAATAATAGAAAACTTCATTACAAGGATAAAATGTAATTCCTATTCTTATCGAAAAGAATGACTGTACTAAAATACTTTTAATTAAATAAAATGTTATCTCCCTAAAAAATATATCGTTGTTCTAAATAAAGACTGAAAGTTATACATCGCTGTATCTACATCGGGAAAGCCATAACCCTGTCCTTCGGCACAGTTGAGGGTGCGGGTGACGTTTTACGAGTTTGCAAACGTTCCAACACGATCTCTATCTCACCGCCCTTGATGAATATAACGTAAATTCTGACTCCCATATAATATTGGAGTCGGAATGAGGAAACTAAATTATGTAGAGGATCCTAAAACAATAATAACCTCGTGGTCAAACAATAGAAATGTGTCCATTGTAACCTTTTTACATGAATAGTTAATTGAGAAGCTATTAGGGCGAACTTGAGTTTTTGTTTAACTCAAACAGTAATAAATCTTACATATGTAAACCACGTTTATTTAATTTATTATTTATTATCGGCCCTCTCTTTACCCATAGCTAAAACTTTACGTGTATACTTCTAAGAGATAGCTAGTTTTCCAAGTAAGTTTCCAGTAACCAACGAAACTCTAATTACTGTATGAAAACATAACTTTTAAATTTTAAGATAAATGATGACAGCTTAATGTGTTATCTATGTTTCGAGACCTTGTAACACTTTAGAAAGGTTCAGAAATAACAAAATCTATCTAATAACTTTCATTGCAAAAATAACTTATATATTTTGAAAGTTGGATTTTGTTATCCAAATTATTTATTTAAGCCGCAGTTAATAAAATGAAATATTTGTTTATGTTTCCATATCAAACATATTAGGGTAAGAAAACAGACTTTTAAAATCACAGAGCTAGTGATTAAAATGCTCACTGACTGTGTGTTATAAGCCTTTATCAATTTCACACAAAGGCCTCAAACATTTTCCGTAAAAGATATCTTCGATTCCAAAAAAAGGTTCAAGGCTTTTGTTTCCCCCAATGCAGCTGAGCCAAGCAAGCTCCCGTTTCCCCAGTCTAAGTAATGGTCTATTAATACAACGCCCGAGGCAAATCAGCCCTCCTCTATTAACGAGAGGGTGAATGCCTTTACTGTTTTACTACAATCTCGACGATTTGCCCAATTATTTTATTTATTTCTCGGAATGGAACACAATATTTGAACAATTTTATATATATCTGACGTTATTTACTTTTTTAACATTTTACAAGTCCTTAAATATACCAATTCGTAAAAGCAGTTATATAATAATAGCGGTGAATTCAGCTAAGAAAATATATTCATGCATACAAACAAAAGAAGTAAAATCATTAATTTCTATTTAATATTTATAGAGACTCAGGTGGTATTTACGGTTATTATATCTTGTTTTACTGTAATAATTCTAGTATTCATAGGTTCTGTTAATTGCTTTTAGTTAATATTCTCTCTCGTTCAATAAACAACAAGACAAGTAAGAAAGATACTTACAGGTATTATTAAACACTGTTGAATTAATAACTAAACCCACCCTTTTGTAATTAACAACATAAAGGAATAAAAGTATTGAGTTATGATCACCATTTAATAAAATAACGACAACGCTTAAATAAATTTGAACCATTGAGAATGATAAACTTGATAATTATATTTTATTAATTACGGTATTATATACAACTTATTTACATTTGGCAACGTATTGTGAAAAGAAAACATATAAATTTTGTACCTACAGACTTAAATTACACTTGTGTTTATACTAAAATATATTACAAATAATAAAATTTTATATGGAAAAGAAAACAGTTACGATAATAGACATAAGATCTTTTATTACGGTTAGAGTTAGTTAATTATTAAAACCTTTTCCCCAATTTGGTATCCAGGTAGACATAACTCCAGACCGTGAAGTTGGTACGATTCTATTCAGCGCCATAGGAGCCGTTGGTAGCGCGGCGGTATCTGCGGCGGCTTGTGCTAGAGACAGCTAGCGTCGGGGTTCAGCGCAGCTTGGAGCTCGTTCACCGCTCTGGGCCGCGCTGACCAGCCAACCCATTGATGACGAAGAAGACGCCGTCGACGTGGACAGCTAGCAGTTAGAAGATCACTCCATCACCGACATTGGTGAACGTATGAAACTCTTCCTTGACATTCCTCTTAGATTTTAGTGTTCACGTGAAGTGGTAGTGAAGTGTCGATTTATGGAACCTATTTTCTAGATCCAGTTTATATAGAATTTAATATTAATATTGTCTGTAATAGTCTGTAAGAAAATTAATGAGATCGTGAAAATACAATTTGCCGAGGGCGTCTCGGTTATTATGTTGAGCCCTTAAAAGGACTTACATAATTTACGAAAAAAGTTTTTGATCTTCAATGAAAAATATTTATTGAAGAAAATATGTTCAAATATTGTATATTAGTGAATAAATATGCCCGTTTGTTTAATACTGCCCATTACTTGTTTTTGTTAATGATACATAACATAACTTCATATTATTTGTTATTACTATCTCATTAGTCTTATTTTCAATGTCACAACTATTATTATTTTATTCTAAGTAAAATATTTGTATTGAAAAATATATAAAAACGTATCAGTCTTGTTTCATATAAAAACTATCATCCACATAAGCTTTTTACGTTAGATTATGAAAGTAAAGTTAAAACAAAGTTTCCGTGATTGGTGACCACACCCGCTTTATTTCTCTTTAAACTTGAACATTAGTTAATTATCCTCATTTCATTGAATTCTGCACTCACAGTTTTATTAAAGTTTGAATTTAAAGTTTGAGTTCTCATTATATTCTCGATTGTATAGAAACTATTTTATACTTACTTAATATTAGCTTCTGTTGTACTATATATATTTCAGAACTAGATTCATGCGACATAAATCTTGTTACATATATACAGGTGTATATACAATCAATATTTTGTACGTAACTATTAATCTACATCTATTTAAGTAAGAATGGTAAAGATTTGATTCTCTAATAATACTTTATGCAAGAAGATTGGTGGACCGAAAATTGTTTTTGTCAAGTTGGAATTATTCAACGTACATATAAATTATCATAAATATATGTTTAAAAGTAGCTGTCAAAAACTTTAATTGTAACACAATAGATCATGATTATCACGGGTAAATAGGCAAATAGGTAAATGCACAAAATTTTAGACTATGCTTTTAAAACTGAGCTAAAATTAGACGAATTATTAAAAAAGTAGGAGAATGTAATACGTACTTAGTTGAGATATAATTTTAATAATATATTATCAACAACAATAAAAAACATTAAATATTATGAGGAAATTAAGCAGTTATTAAACTTTATATTGAAATAAAAACCTTACTTTCTTTTCATACTATAATAACAAACTAATGTAGCAAGCTTTAAATAATATTAATTAAGTTAACAACAAAATTTGGGTAAGTCTATCATTTGACAAGATTGAATTTTGTTTCCAATAGCTAGTTTAAATATTGACATGGTTCAAACTGTATTGATTTTATCTTGAAGTGAATGATTCGACATTATATGCGAAATGAAGCCTAACACAGTAATGTCGAATCTGATTAGAAAATGATTTGATCCCATTCTTACTTCATTTGATTAGTCCTAATTTTAGCAGAATTTATTTAATATTTATAATCATTACATTAGTTCGCTATTCAAATATATTTATTATAATTAAATAAAAGGGTAAAACGCTTAAGCAAATACATGCATATCATATTTATCCCAGAAAAAAGTCACCTATGCCCAAGACGAATAAATAGTGATGGGATTTTTTAAAATCTTATTATAATTATCATTTTAATGGCATTTGTAATATCATAATAAATAATTTATCCGTTATATAAAAAATAGAAAAACATAAAGATTATTATTTACTTTATATTTGTGTAAAAGATAACACTATACAAACGTCACAGTAAATCGTTACAGGGCCAAGATAATTGGCATCCTTATGTGCAAAAGATCTTGCTTATTTAATGGAAATATTTTGCTTGCAAGTCTTTATATACGAGTATATATTACTTAATTTAATTAAAGTGTTATGTAAAACTCGTTATATTATGGTAATAAAGTAGTTTTTTCACAAGGATGTGTATATAATGTATGTAGTGTTAGCTTGATTTTATGCAAAGGTTAGTTTCTGTATGAAAGTATACGTTATACTTTTTAAATCCATTACTGTATAAACATTTGAGATCTAAACCAGCATAATACATACTAAAATATACTTTTTTTATTAGGAATACGTGCTATTTACAACATTTCTTGTCAAAGTTATTGAAATACAAAACAATATTGTATAATAAAGTAACAGAAGCTTTACACAAAACACATGAAATAAAACCATTTGTATTCAATTATTACGCGCTATGATATTCTATAATTGTTAGTGTGTACTTGAGAGATTTTATGTTTATGTTTCTAAATAAATATAATATTTAAAATATTCAGTGAGTGCTTCATTTAAATGAAACCCTATTTATACAAACTTTATGGTATATAAAATCATTTGTCGTAATAATACTACATGTTAACATATAGAAGAGTTAAAATAGAAGATTAACTGAATTGAAGTGAGTTACTCCACGCCCAAAAGTAGTATGTCATTAACACACATATTTATACGCAAACGAAATCCCAAAACAAAAAGGCAGAGAAACCTGATACGTATTAATTGGTATTCAATCAAGTTTTCACTTCAATCTCAATCATTGCCAATCGAGTGCCAGATAAAATCTTAAGAATTCAATGAATGAGCAGCACGTGTCGCAAACATTATTAAGAATATACATTTTTGTACATCTGTCTTTCAATTATAGCGATCGGAACAAATATAGAGAAATATAGATTATAAAAATGGTTTTCACGCCTATTAATAAAAAAAATAATGAAATTTAAAAAAAAAAAACAATTTTTATCCACCATATCAACTTCTCGAAGGATTTTTTAATTCCCATTTTCCAAATAAAAACTTTATTAAAATTAAGTTTGTCCGTGCTAATCTTCTAGGTACAATACATATATTGATTTTGCACATTCTTTTACGATTGTTGGAAAGCGTAAGTTGAAGTATAATTTGAAAATGTTATGCCTGTCTTAATTCGTATTATATTAAAAAGTATTCAACAATCAACAGTAATTTCTCTAATAAATCTATTACCTCAATACTGTGAAATAGTCATGGTAGTGCACACAGAAATCTAATTTAAATTGTAGAATAAAGTCATTTAGATTTTGGATTATTTTTATAAAATCACTTTAAGGGAGTGCACTTAATATATTGATTTTCAATTATGTACCGTATTTAACTCATGATTTTAGATTTAATGTACAAATTTTTATAAACATAATAAGTTAAATAAAAGCTTGTAAATAATTATTAACATATACTCATATTTATAAGTCAAGATAAAAATATCTAGAATAATATTTAAATCAATTCATGGAAATGAACAAAAGAAGATCCCCACAAGCTGTTTAAACAAAAAGAGATAAAAAAATAAAAGGGCTTTCTAAAAACGTCATCTCTTATCCGAATAACAATTATTGTTAGAAAAAATACTCCTCATTTCTATGAACGAAAATACGAATAAAAAGGTAAAAATATGAAATGAATGTATAGAAAGATTTATTCATTTCCAATCTAATTCGTGAATTGAATTTTCACAAAAAATATTTTACATAACTTTATGTTATAATGCAAAATGTACGGTTTTATTTATTTTTATTATGTAAGTCTATGATAGTGTACTACGTGAGGGTTCTCTGCGAGGATGGCTATTAAATTGAAAGGTCAGGGACGGTAAAGTGTCTACCTGAAATAATATACTGTTGACTCACATTGTCATTCATCTAAACAATATCGTTACCCGCATTGTATGTGAAAATTGTTATTTTTACCGCGGACGTGTCAATTTGATGTTGTTATTAAGTAATTCTATATAAACATTTTGTCTTTGTATATTTCTGGGTCAAATTAATTTCATGGATTGAGGATTATATTATAACAGATGTGGTTTCATTCAAGCGACTGTTACCATGCCTGTTCTATAAATGCCACAATATTTTATGGATATGTGAAATTTTTTAGACGTCTGTTACGCAAAATCTACCGAACCTTTAAACCTTGAAATTATAATTTATTTGAAACTTAAAAGTTTTATTTATTATTCCATATTTTTTTATATAAGCACTAATTTTTCTTTTCTCTCAAACACTTGTATTAAAACCACTGTCAAAGCTTAAAAAATAAACAAAATAAGATATTTGATAATAAAAAAAGTATTAAGTTAACAAATATAGACATAAGCACCAAATACCAATGATACAGCTAGCTAATATATGATATATTATTAAAAATATCTAAACATCGCGACACATGTGTATAAAAAATATTGAAAGTGAGAAATTTAAAAGCACAAAACAGTTACAATGGTACTCTTAAAATATATGCCTTTCAATTTCGTTGGTGAAACAAATATTTTACTACTAAGGTAATCTTGTTTTTCATCGGCCACCTGAGAACATTCTACTAAATGATTCATGTTTACTCGACATATAGAACCTGAACAATTGCATTAAATTTTTAACATCTCTGCGAATATTTTCAACATTCGTATTCGAGATGACAATAAAAAGTCAATTTTATATAAAAAAAACTACGCTGTAATTGATTTCTATTGATAACATTCACATACATGAGGCACTTTATCGAGTAGTCATAGACCAAAATTGCTTTATATAATCTTGAAAAATAAGTTGTAAGAGTAGCAGCTTATACTCTCTCACTGTTGGACCTCATTAGCCAAACATTACTAAGAACGATCGAAAGAATACTCGGATTCAAATGAAAAAACACTGCAACGAAATGATTGATCCGTTGGAGAACTATGATTTCACAGACGTCAAAATATTACACGGCTTTTAAGGGGGCGGTAGGGGGGTAGGGGGCGTTTGAAATATTTGTA